GGGGGGGGGGGGGGACACAAATCTTTATAGCATATCATTATATATTTATCATATTTATTTTTGGGTATATTTTTACATCAACTTAGTCCACAATTATACATTTAATTGTGCACAATAAATATACAACACAACCCTAGCAACAAATTGTTTTATTCCTTTCTCTTATTTTCCAATATTATATTCTTTCTTGTCTTTTAGCTTTCCATAATTCATAGAGAAAACATTTTCTCCATTTCAACAAACTTCTTATCAATTTGGTTCTTTTCTTGAGCTTCAACATCTTCTAAACCCTTTTCCTCCTCAAACTTGCTTGCTAAAAATTGGTACTCAATTTTCTCTTGATAAATATTCTTGATTAGAACCAAATAAATTGAGATTACAAAAATAGTAACCCCAACTAAATACCAACTAAATTCTATATTTATCAATGATTTTGCTCTTTCTAGGGCTTCAATATTATGGCATGTAACAACTTCATGACCATCATCTGATTTTAGAACACAACCTTTTGGAATAAACTCTGGGGTCCAAATCATAATTCCTGTGACTATAAACCAAATTCCTTGAAATATAATACTATAAGATCTCACAAAACTATTCAAGAAACTATTAGGAAAAGGAATTCCCAAAAGTGTAGTGACTAAAGTCACAAAAATAATTATTTGGAGAAGCCAATGATATTGTCCTTCAACACCCATATGGTCAGTTGAGTGAAGGTGGAAAAGAAGAAATTCTTGGCCAAAAGCAATGGATGCAAGAAATTGTGTAAGTCCACACCGGATTTGGGGTGAAAGTGCAACTTTGTCAAAGATGATGGAGAAAAGTGCATATACAAAGAAACTTAGGGAGATGTTTGAATGTTCAAAACTTCTAAGATGATTAGATGGAATAGTTCCATCAATATCTAGAGGTTGGTGTTTTTCTGGACCAATAAAAAGTTCCATAGATATTGAAATAATGGTACCAAACAAAATCAAGAAAAGTTCAAAATACCTTATTTTTGGAGTAGGAAACCATGAAAGTGAAGTGTAGGATTTTGGGTGCAAAGCATGTAGTTTAATATGGTTAAGTAAATGCCAAATACCAATAAAAAAGAAACCAAGACCTGGTGCTACATGCCCTACCAAAGAGCCCATTTTTTTCCTGTTTTTTAGGGGTTGTAAAAAGCTTATTTTTGGTTCTTGTAAAATAGAATGGGGGAAGAGTGGATATATATAATGTGTGTGGTAACAAGGAGAATGATGAAAGAAGATAGAGATCATTATTCATATAATAGCTCAATAGGTATGGGAAGGATATAAACTATAAAATAATGTGTTATATAGTCAGTGGCGAAACCAGGATTTTAATTAAGGGGAAGTAGATCTATGAAGAAGTCAAGGGGTATCAACATGTAGTATATATACATATAAAAAAGATCAAATTATCTAACTATATAATATAATTTTCAATGAATGCACTTGAATACATATACGAATTATTTTTATTATTGTTGTTATTGTTGTTATAGCTGGAATTTTAAAACACCACTTGGTGTGTGTCATGTTCTATCGAAGATAGTGTATTTTTTGAAAATTCCGACACGAATACAGCTAACATCTTTAGAGAGTCATACAAACATAAATTATCACTATCATTTTGTCATGTATTTATCATCATATATGAGAAGAGTCATACAGTTTGCCCATAATTCCAGTAGGTTATAATTTAAACTGTTATCTTTCTTTTGTGTATACTCCAAAGCTAGCTATCTTGTCGTATATTCTAGCTAGGAAGTTTCATCAAATTTACGTTTCTGCGTGTTTCTATTTATTTTTAAAATATATTTACTTCACCTCGCACCCCTCATATTTTCACAATTTCGATTTTCCATTCGTATAATTTAAATTTCTAAAAGATTATTGCTTTATCGTTCATGATATTTTATTTTATTCAAAACCAATAAACAATTGAGATATTTTCTTATATATTATTAGGTGAT